AAACAAATAAATTTCAGTGGTTTAGAACTAGATGACAATTTTGAAAATTTTTAGGAATCTTTACCATAGATCGGACAAGGGCCTACTTGAAGGAGCAGTGAACACTTACAAGCATCTGTTTCAAAGGCTTCTCAGAACTCTTGACTTAGGGCATACTGGTGGGTTCCACCTTCGTTTTTTAACTATGTCTAATCTGATGAATGAAATGGACAATTTTTGTAGTGTAATATATAAATGACAATTTGGGCAAAAAAGGTCCTGAAGTAATAATACAGGATAGATCTGATTTTGAATACTGATAAAAAAAAAAAAAAGAACACACCAAATGTGTTAAAAAGCATGGTGCTTACTACATTGACGATGTAAAATTATATCTGAAAAGGACATTTTCAAATAATACTTGAATCTGAATGTTTTGCAGTTTGAAGACACTGTTTATCAAGATTCACTTTTGGTCAGCAATTTCATCAAAAATGGTGCCAGCAGATGGACATCCACAACAAGCTACCATTTTAAAAATGTACACAGCATGCCCCTTTCAATTTTGCTATATTAAAAGGATGTAAGGAACAATAGTGACCAACCAGTATGCCCCAGTGAAGAGTTCCGATAGGCCTTTGAAATAGATGCTTGTAAGTGTTCACTGCTCCTTCAAGTAGACCCTTGTCTGATCTACGGTAAAGATTCCTAAAAATTTTCAAAATTATCATCTAGTTCTAAACCACTGAAATTTTTCTGTTTGAATTTTAATACCAAAAATTTTTCTGACATACATCTTGTGTGTCACATTTTTTAATTTGCAATTTGACAAAAACAAAAATTACAATTTTCCTATTTTCTAACCTCAAAATTTAGTCCAGTATTGGATGGGTTGATCCATTATTTATTTTTCCACTTTTATTATTTAAATGAAGTTCAACATAGTTACCTCATTCCTTCCCAGTGGAACATGTTCAGCATTTCTAAACAAAATTTTTGTTTTAGTAATAAAAAAAGGTATTAATATTTTTTAATGGTGAGTACCATTTACAACTGGCAGACAATGCAAATGTATACTGCAAATTTTTGCTTAAGAAAGGTCTGCAAAACCATAAAACTAAATTTAAAATGTTACAAAATGCAGGATGCTCTTCTTTACACCCTCAACTGAAATTCCACCTTAAGTCCATTAGATTCTTGTTCATACATTGGAATAAAGATTAGTTTACCCCCAATAGAGACTCCTACACTGAGACATGAAAGAACTTTCAAGGAACTGTTAATCCCTTCGAGGATTCCTTGACCTTTTATTTCCTTTTGTTAATCCACAGATCTTCTCTAACAAACCAGTGTAAGTGTGAAAATTTATATCCTGAATTTTCATATTAGTTCAATGGGTTTTGCATAAACAAGGGTTTTTTTTTTTTTTTTTTATATTAGAAATTTAACTTTCTTTGAATGATTCCATTTTGAAGGTTTTTCAGTTCATGTACAACTGGTAAGATAATCTTTTATATCTCAAAAGATCTGGTCTATTATGGAGCAGATTTTGCACAAATCAGTTTAATATTTTCAGTAATAAAAAATTCTTTCATATGGTAAATGTTCATGCTGACAAAGCTTTTGTTCAGTTTTCTCAAAATGTTAAGAATATTTTTCAAGAACCGTTTGAGTGGACAGGATACAATTTTCTAAGAAATGTCAACATTTCATATCTTAGGTGAAATATAGTAGGCAAATAACCAGTATAGGCACTCCCTACATCTTTAAATTTAAACTTTGAACTTCAGAATCTACATAATGCCATGCCATAAGGGGCAACAGAAGTCAGTCTTTTGCAAATAATAGCGAGGTTGAGGCCAAAGTTTTAAACACGAAAACGTGTACCTTGGATGTTCAGAACCGCTTTCCTGTAAGCCTAGAAGTTTGACAGTGGTGTTTGGAATGTCAAGCATGATTCCACTGACTATCCAAACACCATTGTCAAACTTCTAGGCTTACAGGAAAGTGGCGCTGAACATCCGAGGTACACATTTTAGCATTTAAAACTTCGGTCTCAACCTCACTAATAATTAACTAATATGGGCTTATTTCTATTGCGTATTGTCATTTTTTGTTTTTGTGCAAATTGCAATTCCATTGCTGCTCATGAGGTGGCATTGGAGCAACAGTATTTTTTTCTAATCATAAAGTTTATAAAAATTGCAAACAATAGTATATCTAGCAGCAAAAGTAAATGAAAGATCTATCACTATACTAGACATTTTAGTTTTAAAACAAACCAATATAAATATACTTTTATTCTATTATGTATGTGCCATTATTGTTATCTAAGAGGGAGCTTCATGATTCTCTCTTCGTAGAACTTTCCAGTTTTTTTCCTGGAAAAAATGATACTTTGTTCCACATGGGTTTTGCAAACTTCCAAAGTTTTTATCATGAAGGGATTTCTGCAGAGAACAAAACAAATGGTAGTCCAACGGGGCAAGGTTGGGTGAATGTGGGGGGTGGGGTAAAACATTCTAGCCTAATTCCAATCATTTTGGGCATGTTTGTAAGGACATGTCAAATGTTGGTCTGTCATCATCTTGATGAAAAACAATGCCTTTTCTATTGGTCAGTTCTGGATGTTTTTCCTTAATTGCCATGCTTATTGTTCCCAACTGGATAAACTGTTCAGGATCAATTGTTTGCTTCTGTGGAAGTAGCTCAGTGTACAGGATTCCTTTCCAATCCCACCAGACTGTGAGCATGACCTTCTTTGGATGAAGACTGGTCTTTGAATTTTTAATGGTGGTCCATTTTCTTATCCCATGATTGCTTTCGGCTGATGTTATAAACCAGTGGTAGTCAACTCTGTCCCTACTACCCACTAGTGGGCAATTTGAGCTTTTGTAGTGGTTGGTAGGGATGCTGAAGCTACTGTTATCACTGCGCATCTATGACTCACTGACGGAGCAGGTTGTACTGTAACAGTGGCCATCACTCGAGTTGAGCTCGTTTTGTGGTGGTGTCAGCATTGCCAGATTTTTTACATCAGACTTGAAAAAAGTAGCTAAAAACTTGGCACACTGGCAAAAATTTCTGTATATTATAAACATATGCAAACGATAAATTTAACTACATATTTTACTAAACTGCCACTCAAAAATTACAAGTACTTTGTAGTTGCACTAAATTAACTTACTACAGTGGGCAGTTGGAAAATTTTACTACCAACAAAGATACAAAAGTGGGCGGTAGGTATAAAAAGGTTGACTATCCCTGTTATAAACAATCCACTTTACATCACCTGTCACTAAATGCTTCAGAAAAGGGCCATTTTCATTTCTCAAGTAAATGACAAATGGAAATGCAAACCTGTAAGTTATTTTCTGTTAAGACATTTGGATACCTCAAGATTTAACGATTCGTGTATCCAAGCTTCTTTAGATATTTGGTAACTTCACTATGTCTGCAATCTCTTGAGTTGTGTAATGAGGGTTGTCATCCAATAATGTTTTGATCTGGTCCTCTTCAAGGCCAAAAGTGGTTTGCGGTGGAAGTGCTGTAGCAGAATCATAACATATTCCTTTTTCTGTTCTATGGTAAAGGCAAAAAACAAGTGTCAAAAATGCACGTCATTCGCATCCATTTTCACAATGAGACAAATTAAACAATATTTGAATAAACTTACCAGGTTCTTTTTTGTAATAGGTGCATCACAACTGTCGGCTTTCAAAAATTGCTATGAGCTTTCCGAATAACCCAACAGAACAAAGTTTATTAGGTGAAAAAAACACATTTGAAACATCTGCCACTAAGCAGTATCAAGTGGGTAAATGAGTGTAATGTATTGTATTAAGTAAGTCGAAGGATCAAACACTAAGAATATGTCGATAAATTCTGCATATAAATGTTGTTTTTCACCTTACAAACAGGTTAGGTTCTCTGGGTATGAAAAATCTTCTGGAACTTGTCAAGGGAACACCCATAGAATCACAGTTGGATATATCCCCAAATTTTGCTGCTTATATAAAAAACTATCAAAGGAGTCAGTTTTTCAAACCACAATCTCTTCCATTAAATTAGACTGAGGGTAGTATGTTATTGGCATATGAAATAAGATCCATTAGACAAAACCAAAGGAAATTAGTGTTATAATTAGGATTGTTTTGCTAATTTCCTTTGGTTTAATAATAATATACTCCTTTTGATTAATTATATCTGCAAAAAAAATTTTACTACAAAAACTAGAGAAATTGGATATAGTTATGTCTTAATGGGAAAGTCTATTTACTAAATTAGTCTGTAATAGCTAACAAAATTCAAGTTATCATTTCTTGATAGGTGTTGATATTTTTGGCCTATTCATAACTCACTAATGTCATTAATTTTCACCACACCATTCCAGCGGGTTTCTTTTGCTATGTCATTTCTGACCAGCAAAACATTTGGGTATTTGGAAAACCTGATATTACAGTGTCAAGCCATAGGGTGATTGAAAATATTGTTCACTGCACCAGAAAACTGACTAGTTATCAACTTGTAAATTAAAATAAGAAACATTGTATAATTCTCCCAATGTCTTGACTTGAATTATGAATTATTTCAGTTGCCATTACTGAATAATTTAACATATTTCAGATATTTATACAGGTGTTCTAAAGTTTGTTGGTTCCATTAAGGATGCTTAAAAATTGTATGCAGACAAGATTCCAATTTTTTTTCTCCGTTTGCTCTGGTGAATTCTGTCTCGATAAAATATAAGACAGTTAATTCAATAATTTGAGTGCCCATCCGATTGTCCGGAGTCGCAGGTAATCCAAAGTTTGTAGCCAAAAGGAGGAATTACTTAGTTACAGAAAGTGTTTAAGGTTCAACTAGTATAAGCTATAGCATTGTCATACCTTTGAGAAGTTGTAGAATAGTTCAGTTATTAAACTGTATTTACAATAAACAATTATTTTACCTAATGATATAACAATTTAGAAGAAATTTATGCATAACCATTTTATTAATGGAATTTGTATTTATTTCAGGTATCGTGAACGACTCTCGCGAGGCACTCTTTGCCATTCGAGGATACGTCAAGTATTTTTTCACTTGCGCAGATTGTTCGGAACACTTCCAAAATATGGCAAGCAATATGGAAAACGAACTGCAAAATCAAGATGACACGATACTGTGGCTCTGGAAGGCGCACAACAGGGTCAATGGGAGACTGGCCGACGACTTAAACACCAATGATCCCAGGCATCCAAAAGTTCAGTTTCCTCCCACCAAACTGTGTCCGGAATGTAGAGACGACAAATCTGAAACCTGGAACATTCCAAACGTGTTAAAGTTTTTGGGCCGGTTTTACGGAAGATCCCACATCGTGCAAGTCAAAGACTTCACACAGTTGGAAAGACGGGAAAACCACTATTCCATTTTGTTCGACGACACGAACGTAAAAGTATATAACGAAAATAGAATGCTGGGGAGTTGGAGATTTAGGTATTTTAACGGAATGGACATCAGTCTGTGCATAATGCTCTACATCGTGTCCGCTGTGTTAATGATCATCCTGTATTTTCTGTTTGCATTAAGACGGCGGAAATATAGGGCCCAGAAGAAAACTTTCGTCGCGTATCCGTGACCACCAACACAGTCTTTTGATACAGCCATTGCTATTGTTAACCTGGATAATCAGAAAAATACTTAGTTTCCTACTTAGTAGCTAGCTACTTGATTTTCGTTTTGTTCAAACATTCCGCATTTGTCTGCGTAATGTACAGTAGAATCTGCTTATTGTATTTGTATTAGGTAACAATAAGCAGAGTCTACTATACCTTAATTCTAATTTGACAAAATGAATGAAAAAACTTACCTTGTAAATGTCGCAGTATGACACACTAGTCATTACTTTTTTAACTGTACATATATCTCTTAACTTATAACCTTGAAAATAAAAAATTTATTACAGACACGTCAAAGTCTGCATTCCGCAAAACCACACTAGAAAAGAACAGACCGGACGGATCCACAAGAAAACTAAAATTTTATTAGAATTACGATACATACATAACATTAGTTGCTCCCATTTTTTTTCTCTTTTTTTTGAGTACGGATAACAATAATGGGTCGGAACGCCCGACGAACAGTTAACAAAACACGAAACGATAATTTATACAATAACCGTAAACTGCTTCCCGGCAACTGCCGGCGGTGCCGTAGAACGGTAAAAATAACGACAGAGTGCGACACTAACTTTAATAAATTATTGCATATTTTTTTGCCTATTACACCTCTTTCGATCTAAGCGGGCTATCCTACTGTGGTCGACCGGAACAGACTATGCTAGACAAACCATTTTCTGCGACCTTGCATTGCGCATTGTTAGACTAGAATAATAAAATCGGGATAACCCAAAGGAAATTGACATTGATTGTCAAAAGAAATTTGAAGGAATTAGTCAAAGTATTATTTACGGAGGGAAAACAGCAGATTCCATAGTGCGCTCTTACAGTCTTTCGACGAGCAAAAGAAGAAATGGATTTTTTTTATATCATAAATGGACTTCCTTAAAAATTTTTACTATGCTTTTTAAAATATCGACTATGCACGAATATGGAGAACGGCAAGAAATTTGAAACATTTTTGATCCGGAGAAGAATCAACAAAACAGACTGCCATTTTCCACACATTAAAAAGGCACCTTATAATAATGATTGATGCTTATTAACGCTATTCATACTCTCCGGAAATGTTTCAAGTATCCGTGCTACATTTATTTTTATATATCGTGTATGTTGTAATTATGGATATATTTTTCTTAAACTACGTAAAATACTGTGATATCGGATTTGATAATGATGCTTGAAAGGCAAGTACCAATGAAAATACATTTTGTGATCGAATCGTTAAATGCTCTCTGCTATATATATTATATATATTTTTAATGTTGCATATAAACTTTTAAGGGGAAAAAAATTATGTACGACTTCTTTACATAGAGTGTAAACTGATATCGAAGAAAAATATCGGAAGGCAGACGTGGGAAGTTATATATCAACATTACACAAAATACAAAATGTAACAAATTAGACAAGGTATATTGCACGTTAATAAGTCTCTAAGGAATGTACAAAGGAACCTTGTTGTGCTTTGCCAAATTTACAAGTTCGTTCTCCGGCATTCAGGTGGCGTCTTTTTCCTTCGCCTCCTTCACCGGATATTCTTTTTTCGTGGCGTCTCGAATGGACGACAGGGTCTTGTGGAACCACGTGTTTTTTACGGACTGCAGTTCCGCCAGGGCCACGTTCAACTGGTGATTGACGTCCTGAATTTTGTCGAGAGCAAAGTGAGAAATGCAACCCAATCACTCGCCGTAAAAAGAAAAAACAGGGGGGCTATCTTTACCTGATTTTTACATTCGGCCTCGACCAAGGCCAGCTTGGTCTGGGCCAGTTCGAGTTCGAGTTCCCTTATTTGGTCCTGGGAATCGTCGCATTTCGGACCCTGCTTGGGGATGCCTGTCTCGTCCACCGGAAGCTGCATAGGCAACGACTGTGGCGCATCGAGCGCAGTTCGACAGTTTTCGCAAGTTTTCATCTGTGCCTGGTAAAATAAAAGAACGATTTGTCAATAGCTGCAAAGAATAAAATTTGAAAAGTTAAAAATTTTAATTTACTTACCCTTAACTTTTCGATCATTTCTTTAGACAGTTGCTGTTCCTTCTCAAATCTCGAATTCAACTGACCGCATATCTTAATAAAATAACGACAAGTTTAGCCACAGACTGCACATGCCACATTCTATATATTTCAACGTACCTGTTTATATTCGGATATTATCAGATTATTCCTAGATATTTCTGTCTCGGCTCTCTGTAGTTCTCGCCTGCACATTCCCTTCAGCTGGAGGTGACAAAATGATTTACAAAAACGGACTCTTGCATTAATTCTGGGTCTTAAAACTTTTTAAATCGTCCGTTACCTGAGTCACTTCGACGTCCAATCTCTTCTTTTCGTCCTCCAGTTCCGAAAGACAGCACTTACTCGTGTGTAGCTCCTTTGTCAGAGCTTCTATTTTTTCTTCGGCCTTAAAATACGAAATAATTTTAACCCAAATGCAACCACTCGATTATGGGCGAACATTAATGCTGCCGACATGCATACTCACGCCCTCTAATTCTTTCTTCAGCTGCATTCTCGTGGTTATCAACTCCTGTGCCAAGTCGTCGTTTTCTTGTTCCAGGTGCATGTTACTCTCAAGCAGTCTCTTATTTTCTCGCTGCATAGAAAAAAGAACACTTCTATAACTTACCATAAGTCATGCAAGCACTACTAGAGTTGTAACTTTGGGTGATTTCGGTAAACAATACTAAAATTCAAATGGATATTGCATCCTCTAACCACAAAGGAGGATGGCTATAAAAAATTACGAGAAAGATTTGTATTTTTTACTTTAATACAAAAAAATATTTGTTATTGGTGAAAAGCAACTGCAAATTGTTTGATGGGCAAATGTCCAAAGGGGTTAAAGTATCGAACTATCACTCTGGGGCTTGGAATATAATCTGGACGGGCAACTTCTCGGAGATTTTTCCAGGGTGCGCCTGGCTCTATCCCTCACCGCCCGGTTGCTCCGTTGCATGCTCTAGAAAAAGGCCTTGGTATCCATGGGGGGAAAAATTTTTTACAAAAAATAAAATACAATTGCTTGCAAGGTAAAAATAACTTAAGATATTTTGTGTTCGGTTGCACACCGATGTGCCTGCATGTGATAATATATGATAATCATTATAATGTGGGGTTAGAAGTGAGAATGACATGCATGCCAATATGATTAATACCATATAAAATGCAATGTTTTGAGCAATACGAGTCTAAAATCTTTCGTCTTAGATACGAGAAATACGATACAATTTAGATGTTAAATTATAATCACAAGAATGATTTAAAACACATTATTTTTGACTCGGTAAATTGATCCGAGAACTCTGCAAATCTAATCGACCGCCTCTTTTCCCACTATTTAAATAAAATTATCACTTTGTTCCTTTCAAATAGTCAAAACAAATCTTTTTATTGCTTTCATATGCTAAATTTGCACTTTGTTTTTTTGCCGAAAATGTGTAAAATTTTGAATCGTGCAGAGATACTTTCTGCCAATTTTACTAAATCAAAATCACGTGAAAATTAATACAAATTAATGGTTTAAATGTTTTTGTGTTTTGTTTATCTGTTGTAATGTATGCACTGTAAAATATTTCCTGTCCTAAGAATATATTTTGGGTTTTTTTAGCTCTAGAAATGAAACATGCAACTCTATTGCTCAACCTTTGCATGCAATTTTAGGAATACATTACTTCCAAATGTAAGGGACTACCTATAATATAGTAGCAAGTTATAATATACAAGAAATGTCGAATTTTGTATAAGATGACTGATTTGTGTTTGTCATCTTATACAATCTATTAAGTCAAACAGATTGGCAATTGGGTAAATAACTTAATATGAATCAATTCTATTAGCTTAATTTAATCTTTGATTACAATGACAAATCTAGGAAATTTATGCAGATTCCCAATGTGTCGAGTGAAATTAAACTGTTCGTAATCTAAATGTACTATGCTAACAAAATAACTTGGAAGTTCAACATATATTCTGTAATGTTCCAGCATTTATTCCTCATTCTTATGGTCAGGAGCTAAAATTAGAGCCAAATGATAAATCTATGAGAGTTTTTTTTCAACCTCCACTAACACATGACAAAAATGGAAGCATGTGAGACAGGGTGTGCCCCTAGTGAGTAGTGTATTCCTTTACCAATCCATTTTAGACATTTGCTACTACACAGTAAATATGGCACTGCCAATTAATGCTCATACTTCATAGTTGGGACCAACTATGAAGTATGAACAGTAATTCGATTTCTACGGGCCGAAGGGAAGCAAAATTCATCGAAGGATGTGTAATGCGTATGGTGAGAACTTCATGACCTACAGATGTGTGCATGAGTGGTGCAGAAAATTCAAACAAGGATATGACAATGTTCATGATGAGGGTGGTCAAGGAAGGAAGTGTGTGATGACTGACAATTTGGTGGATAAAGTGGATCAATTGGTGCAAGAAAGGTGTCAGTTCACAATTTCTGAACTCAGTGAGGAGTTTCCTCAAATTTCAAGGTCCACGCTGTATACCATTGTAATGGATAAGCTTGGGTTCAGCAAATTATGTGCATGATGCGTTCCAAGATGCTCACAGACCATCACACAAACTAAGGATGGGCACTGTTTTAACATTTCTGCAGCGTTACCACCAGTATGGGGAGATATAATTGGACAAGATTGTGACAGGAAATGAGACGTGGGTGTTGTTCGAAAATGTCAAGACAAAGTTGTAGTCAAAACAATGGATGCACATTTTGTCTCCAAACAAACAGAAAAAATTTGAATGATCATTTTCCACCAACAAAAGGATGTCAACTGTTTTCTGGGACAGAAGAGGCATTTTGATGATCTAATTTATGGCACCTGGGATGACTATTAATGCAACCACATACTGCAAAACTCTTCAATGCCTTACTTCTTCAATCCAGAACAAAAGAAGAGGAATGTTGTTTTTTTCACGATAACACTTGTCCTCACACTGCAAAAATGCTCCCATTTGAACCTCTGGAGGAGTTCCTGAGTCAGTTTCCTCATCCACCGTACAGCCAGATTTAGCACTGAGTGATTTTCGTCTCTCCACTCAAATGAAAAAATGGTTACCAGCTGAATGGCCAGGCGGCAAGCTTCTTCAATGTTGGAATACAAAAGCTGGTGTCACGGTATGATGTCTGCCTGAATCAACAAGATAATTGTCAAGACTTAAACTACTTTCTACAAATGAAGTGGTTTTGTTCTTCATTCTTGTTTTTTTTATTCTGGGACAGTGGAGGTTGAAACTCCCCTCTTAAGTTATGTATGGATGTAACAATTACACTAAGAGTGGGTAAAATTAATACCAATATATGTGTAAAACAAGAGTATCAACCTTTTTTAAATTGCTGCCAACTAATAATTATATTGCAGATATTTGAGAAACACTAGAAAAAAAATTGACAGAACACATGTTTTTCCCCAAAAACAAAGCATTCAAATTCTTGCTACTTACAATAGTTTGACCGATATGGAAATGCCGGTCCTATCTTTTGACTAAAATCAAGATATATAATGACAATTTTGGATTTTATAACAGTTTATAAATTTACTCACTCCTAAAATGTAAGGCTTCTTTAGCAAAGAGTTAATGAGGAGTCAGAAAGTTACCACTCGAGTCTCAGAAGAAATTCATCTGAATACTTAAAAAATTACCTTTAATCCATCCACAGGATCCTCTTGCTGCTTCTGTTGTTCTTTGAAGACAACATAATCCTTTTTGTACTTTTTCAATTTTTTTAGCTGCATGAACAATTTTCTTTTAGTTTGTCTGGCCGACCGACTACAAAAAAGGATTTGGTATGCCTAAATCTCACCTTGATGCCAACAGCCGTCTGCAGGAGGAACCTGGCACTCTCTTCGGTCCTGTACTTTTTCGGCAAGGACACTCTGAAGTGTTTCAGAATTCCTTCAAAGTCTAAAGCCAGCAGATCCTTTTTTGACATCTGTAAATTAAGAGAAACATTTCATGAAAAGATCCAGTCAGATTAAACTTTGCATTCAATTGTTTTACAGATAATACTGATAATGATTACAGACAAATTAATTTCATATGGACATATATTTACTATTAAAACATGCATAACCAGTTAATACAGATAATTTTCTTACCATTAACAGAGCGACGGCAACTTGAAACAGAGTATCTGCACCCTAAAATATAATTTGCTTGTTAATAAACTAAAAAAAATATTTATTGTGAGAAAATTGCAAATACTTACATCCAACAAAAATATATCCACTATGTAAAATACTACGTAGAGTGGAAATTTTGCCGTGAACAGAGTCAAGAACCACTGTGATGCATACATGTGAGCTTCTATGCCCAAATCGATGAAGTGAGCATAAACTTCGGGAAGAAGTTCCTATTAAAAATCATCAGAACTTAGTATTATTTTAAAGCATTATCAGAATACTCTATATATTTAGGAATTACTTGAGACTAACCTCCATTAATCTATCCAAGATAAATAATTTTAAATGTAACTCTTCAAATCCATTTCTGAACATGTCTCTTAAATGATAGTCAAACATTATCCTAACTAAAACATTAAAAGCCTGTTCTTCTGGCATCTATAAAGATTATTTAATAAAATTAAAGTTTTTGACTTCTTACAAATAAATATTGCTACAAACCAACCAATGCTGTATGTCATTGGGCTAGATAATGGCTATAATACAAATAAATTATGAAACAATTTGGTACTAGAGGGAGAGTAAGTGATAGTTGCGAGTTCGAGACCCGCTCCGGGACGATTCTTTTCTTCCAGTAGATATAATAAATTTAATAAGTCTAAATTATTTAATTAAAAATTAAGAGATAGTGCCTAACACCTCCCTCTAGTATCAAATTGTTTCATAATTTATTTGTATTATAGCAGTTATCTAGCCCAATGACATACAGCATTGGTTGGCTTGTAGTTTTATAATGTATTGGGTTTTAGTATTGTTTGTTTAAATAAATATTTGTTCAGTGATTTCATCCACTCAACCACTGGTGGATAAATCTCAGTGGATCCCTTTCTATTATTGTCCTGTATGTCCCAGTAGATCATTGCTTGACCAGTTTCCCCAATTTTCCATTAGATCACATTTAATTGTCACAATAACGGAAGAGTGTATTTGCAGTCTGAAGGTAAAGAACATTAAATAGAGGAATAAATTTGTAGATAAAATTAACAAAAAATTTTTAAAAAATGTTTAATGTATTAATTAAAAATGAAGTAGAAACAAAACATACAAGCAGACAGCATTATCCTACTTTCAAAGAGACACCCTAAACACTTTCCAAACATTGAAACTTGACTAAGTTCAGTTACCAGTAGCCAAAACTCAAGAAAACTAAATTTGGTACTTGAGTTAATCATCATTTTGTATTCATTAAACATTATAAATATTACAAATTTATCACCAGTTAGTTAATTCAGAGTATCTCATAAAAAAAATTGAAAATTGTGCCTGAAGTGTGTTTTGATCTGTACAATGCTTTAATTCAATTTTCACCTGTGGTTTGCAATGATGGGAAAGGTGGTCCACAGGCAGACTTAAATAAAGATTAAAACTTTGTTGAAGGATGACTCAGTTATTTCCATTTTAATTAATTATGCTTCCATATGTATTCAATACATGTTTTTAGGTTTATTATGTTATAAATTGCACAGTACATCTCAAATGTTGGTTTTGGTATGCAACACGTGATCTGTCTGGGGAAACTGGGCCCTATTTAAGTGTGACAAACATGAAGAAAACCAGAAACTTGTCCTTGTAGCTTAAAAACGTTGAGAATTGCTGCTTTAACTGATTGTCTGTCACTGTTTATTTTAGAATAACTTTTTTAATTATGAAACTAATATACTTTTAATTAAAAACACAACACATTACACAATTAAGATAATATTCTTCAATTTACATAATAGGTTGTATTTTTGTGAAGTATCAAAAACATTCTTGAATTTATTTATTCAATTAACTAAACTACTAACTTAATATTGGGTTTCAGTATACACAAGCTTATTTATTAGTTATTCAAAAGTTTGGATGATTGATTAAATAATTTGATAAACAGTAGGAGTGCACATTATATACAGTTAAATTTGCATTGTAGTGAATACTTTTGGGAGGGATGCTATCTGCTTTAGACAAAATATCTGCTAAAAAAAATTGTCATACATATTACAACATCCAGCAGTCTTTTAAATAATTGTACAAATTTACCCAACACATGTTTCATTTTGATTTTTTTGTTCTTCCTCAAAGTTCTTTAAGTTGTTTAATTGTCCTTTCCATATTGCCAGCATCAATCTATCAATGTTTGACCTGACAAGTGTCAGAGTATAATGTACAGTACAGTTCAATAAAATCATGAAAAAACTATACTCAAGTTTCATTCATATCCTTTATCATTTATACTGAAATAATAATGATGTATTGCAAATAAATTGTTTATAGTGTCAACAAAATTAATATATACTTGATTTGATTTTTTAACATAAGAACATTGTGACTTACATGGAGAAGAAGAGCAGCAGCAAGAAAAGATAAACCTTGGCAATAGCCAATTTCTTGATCATATACAGAATAGGCCTGTAATAATATTACAAAGTTAGTAAAAAAAAATTCAACACAGTTTAAAAAAATCTAATGATCATTCTACTTCCTTGCATATTTTATATAACGAATCTTGCCCAATGCCTCCGCTTTCTCTAAAGTAATCGTGAGCCGGAAATGTACGATTGATGTCTCTCTGAATCACATTTTCGCAAGGCGAGTCCTTTTAAAATATTTTTTGACAAAATTTAATTAAAAACACTTGCACATAAAGTTACTCATCTAAAATTCAAATTTCATAAAATAATAGATTAAGATTATTTTCATAAAATTTAAAATATTGTTAATACTATCTGACATCTAATAAATAAGTTAATACTAAAACAATATTAGGCAATTATTAGAGAATTTAAAAATATATAACTTCATTCAACTCTCAAACTCATTGTAAAATGTAAAATCATGATGATAAAATTCAACTTAGGAGAGAAATAAAAAAATAACTAATAAAAACTCAAACTGGAAGTTGTGTAATGTTCTAAAAAAAATCAGTAAAATTTTTAAATTATATTGATTTAAAAAACTTTAATACAATCAAATTAAGGAAGAAAAATGCTAAAACAGTTAAATTCTCAGAACAGTAAATGGTTTCAATTTAATCACTTATGTATAATTGTGTGTGTCATGTTGATTTATTAACTAATTATAACTAGTTATCATCCCTTCATAAGGAAAACGTCAAGTCAGTAAAGCTGATTGTTATCAAATCAATCTAAATTATTTATGAATAATATATAACACAATTATAGTGTTTTTGAATACTGTATATATGCAGTCCTCAACTTTTGGACAACTTGTTCTTTTGTACGTAACACTTTTCACATCTAAACTGCTTTCTCTACACCAAATTCAGACCTTTGTAATTGAAAATATACAAAGTATTTTCAATCAAGAAGCAAAACTGAGATATTGTCCAGTTTTTTTTTTCAATAATAGCAAAATCATTTGTAAATATTTGTCTGCTTGTTGTTTAATTTATGGTTCTAATGTTTTACACATTATGACAGTCACTGTAAAAACTTTTTCTATCTTAACATTTTTTTTTGTTTCATAAATGTTTCTTTTTTTGCTTCTGAAAACAGAATTTCCATTATAACATATGCAACTCTTTTGTACATATGTTTAGAAATACATTACATATCAAGCTCAGGAAATGCTTATATTATTCAGCATTTTATAATTAAATTAGATTAAAGTTGTAATAATTTTATGAACTAACTGTTATGTCTTATTTACTACAATTATTAATTAAATTTTAGTAAAATGACAGTATGTGTATATATAATTTTTGTATTTGTCTTTTATATCAAGTCTATATTATAATTGTATTTTATAATAGCAAAATATTACACTTATCTATTTCAATAATACTGAAATAAGTTGTTTTAACAAACTTTTAACTAAAAACTTTTGAAAAAACTTATTAAAAAGGAAAGAAAACTTGAGAGAACATTTAAAAAAGAAAATTTTTGAAATAAGTTATATAAATTCATCAATAAAGAATATCTATACATTTAAAAGTTTCTCTTATGATTTTGACAACCTATTTTATATAAAATTTAAAAGCAGTAATGAATATTTGTATATTTACATATTTATAATTCAAATAATATATGTAAAAAATATAAAACTAAGTACATACTTTTGTTATTAGAATTCTATAAGTTTCAATCATTTGCCTTGTGTCGTGACAACCGGCCAGCAGTTGCCAAACTTCGCCTCTCAGGGCCTCGGGTATTCCACGACGGACAAGAGGAGCCAACTGTTTTGGGCGCTGTTTAAGATTTTGACGCCACTTGGACAGAACGTCACCCCAACCTTCTAATTCTACTTCGGTGCAATCTTTACTGACTTCTCCTGTTCCACTCAGCAGTGGCTCATCATTATCTACAACATTTTAAAATTTTGTTAGTTTAAATATGTTACATTTACTATAAATGCTGCTATAAATATTACAATTTATATTTCAAAATTTTAAAATCTTACCAGATTCAGACTCTTGATCGCCGGGTGTCGTTTCAGACTGAACACTAGAACGCCTGCCCTCCCCAAAATTTAAAGTGAGAATTGCTCTTTTACGCTGCAGTTGGCTAGCACTATCTACACTGACTACATCTAGTAAATGTCCACCACTATTTTCCATTTCAGCCTGTATTAGTAATTATCATTTTTAATTTTAATATTCCTAAACAAATCAGTCTGTCCAAAATTAGACCTTACCTCTCGCAGTCTAACATAAAACTGTTCTTGAACTGGTTTCTTTGTAAAATACCAAAACCTATCATTTTGAGAAAATATTTTTGCTTTTGTTTCTATTGCAAATCTAATTGATTCCTGCACACCAGCAAAAACAACATCGATCGCTACTGTTACATAAACCACCGAATCTACAAACATTAAAACAATTACAAAATCAAAATTAACAGTTTATATATACAATAAAACTAAAGCATATTTATTAAAATTTACCTCTAGGTGTTTCTCTATTTAGGACTTCAAAAACTGCTGGTGTTGGATTCCAGTGACCCGATATCTGATAAGAAAATCTATCTACTCCAGCTACTTTATTCATAGAAACCTAGCGATTAAGAATAGCTATTAAAAAGAATTCTGATAGTTTAACAACACAAAATTATGATAAAGCATTAAAAGTGTGTATAGCAAAACAACTAACACTTTGGCGACAAAAGAATTCACCAGTAATTTCCACGTACATTCTGGACAACTGAGGAATTAATGAATGATTTCCATAAATTCTTCTTATAAATTTCCAGAGACTTCAAAAGAACTTTTCTTTCTTTATAGTTATAGATATGCCATTATGTAAAACATAATGGCATCTTTACAGTTAAAAACTTGCTGTAAAATTCTAATACTGTATATATTAATTCTGAGATCACTAATGTTATAAAAACTTTCCACTTTGCAGACTATCTTCATACCTATTATGTACTTGACCGGACCCACAACAACAACCAGCTAGCATATCCAATCAACCCATTCAAGAAAATTTGAGTCAACCCAAACTAGAGTTCAAGTCCCCAGAATAGGCAACTGACATTTAGATTGGATGAGATTAATGCAATAAGAGAAGGCAACATATGATTGATTGATAAAGAGGAGTGCCTCCCAGGAAACTTTCAACAGATAACTGGCCCCTATTTGCAATGTTAGACATGTTGCAAAAACCTGAAAAACTACACAGCCAGCTCATTGGCAAGGCTCAAACACACAACAAGTTTTCAGTGGTTTTATTCACCAAAAACTCAGCCAATTGGTCATGCCACGATATATTTATAAAGTTCTCTCTATTATGATGATAACCAGTAATAATTCATATCGCCATCGTGTTAAAAGACATAAGTACTGAATAAGTTAACATATGGGTTACCATTTCCAGTGGATGCATATCTCCTTGGCTGACATTTCTCCCAGGTGAAATTAATAGACCAAAACACCTTAAAATATTTTAAATAATAATACTGCAGCCTTAAATATTGAAGAATAAAAAAGTTATCTATTTTACATTTAAAAGAACTATCATCCATAAATACTTGAAATGAAAAACAAATATTAATAAGCAGGTTTCTTTCTACCTTTCGATGGTGAGTTCCTTATTGTTAGATATTTGATGGATTGTCATGACAATGAGCTTCTCCAGATTGCACCGCAATTTAAAATACTCCTTATCTCGAGGACAAGTGGCAAAATTTCCCTGTAGATAGAAATGTTAATTTAAATATTACATGAGTTTTAGGATATGAGGATATGAAACTGTCAAATCAAATAAAACAGCAATTACTTTTGAATCTTCCTCTTTCATTTCTAATGTTGCTTCAAAAACATAAACTTGTTCATTATTTCTAACAGTGTTTCCAATAGGAATGTTTTTATCAGAACTAATTGAGTTACATCTGGAAGTAGGTAGTTTTGGAATCTTTCGGAATGCTTTGGCAAATCCTTGAAGGACTTTCAAAACCTAAAATTGACAAATTCACAAATAATATAACTTAAAAATATTGTGCAGAAACAGAAATAAATATATCTTTATTATTAAACTAACCGTTTCGGGTTCGTTACACTTAAATACATGACACTGAAAGATAGCCGTTTCGGCAATAGTACCATGACTGCAAGTAAATGCAAAACAATGTACTTCTTGAGTCTCTGGTCTTCCTCTGGCACAAAATAATATTCTATGAATTGGAAAAGTTGCAATCTCCGTACTGCTGTTTAATTCATATAATCTGAAATTTACAAAACAAATTCATTAAAGGAGTATTTCTTTGGTTATTTCTAAGAATAATATAGAGAAACGTACATGACAGATCCTTCCGCATCACCTGGTATTGACAGAGTAATCTCGATAGCATGTTCCGAAGACTGTTCGTTCAATATAGCCATGTTTCGGAAAATTTCATTTTCACTACGAGGCGCATTAATGGCTGCACACCCTAAATATGTCACTTTTGGAAATAGAAGACTATCTACAGGAAATTGTAAAGATATTGATTTTGATGAAGATTCTATAAAAAAAAATATATAAATTAAGTTAGATTGTATTAAGAACAATTCCTCCTATTAAATAAATGCAAAATTAGTATATTATTTTATTTTCTATTAATGTTAAAAAACTATATATAACAACTACAACAAGTGAACGCATTCATCTCATATTCACAATAATACCACATTTTGTTTTGCAAGTTTAAAAATTTTTCACATTAGTTAGTGCAAGAAATAAATGAAAGAGTAGTGAAAACATATGAAGTCATTCATTTTAAATTTTTTATAAATTACCTAATTAAAAACATATTAACATATAATAATATTTCTTTTATTATGTTTATTATGCAGAAAAGTATGGAATATGTAATGTTCAGTAGCTCTATTTCACGAATTTTGTATTGTTTTTCTAAATTTGTTACTTAACAAAACTTAATAAGCTATTTGAGAATTTCTTCGACCATAAGAAACATTCAATTTCAAACAAAACATTTCATAAAATTAACAGTGTCTAGAAATTAAGAAAATTCAGTACACAGTAAAACCTCTATATTCATCATTAATCTGTTCCTAAGGATCTAATGAATATAGAAACAATTTTTCTCATAATAAATAACTGATATTCAATTAATCCAATCCCATCCTAAAAAAAAAAATACAAGAATAAAAATTTTGTAGTTTGTAAAACTATCTTTATTGTACTAAATAAATACAATATAGTGGTAGAAGGAGAAGAACAGTGAGGTTATTATTGTTTAGAAGACATACCATCAATTAAAACATTAGGTAATTCCAATTATAATCTTGGCATATTAAATTCTTTGACTAAGTTAGAAACACTAGAGGTTGCAGCTGAATTTTTCATCTCTAAAACATTGAACATTGAGCTCCATCATCTTGTAAGCCTAGAAGTTTGATAATGGCATTTGGAATGTCAAGCATTATTCCAATGATGTTCTGAACACCATTTTCAAAGTTGTAGGCTTACAAGATGGCAGCGCTCAATGTTCAACATTTTAGAGATAAAAACTTCAGTTGCAACCTCTCTACTTTGTCCATTTTCAGACTTAGAAATAATTTTATCATCTTTATTGTTGTATCTAACAGCTTTCCTTTTTTGCTGTTTTTCTGCAGTGTGCTTTGTTGAAGCCATTGGAACTTGAGTTTTTGAAAATAATTAATGCAAGAAACCAAGAACACACACCACGACCGCACAAAGCAGACTGATTAACTACAGCTAGTTGACATAGTGTTGCCAACTCAAAATTCAAATTTATAGCTAGACATTTTAATAAAAATGTTCAAATCATATTGTTTCCATTAAAATTGTTTGAATTTTTGTAGCTAGATAGTATTATAAAAATAGCTAGGCCATTATAATTTAGGTAATTTGAATAGCTAGATTGTTCATAAATCCACTAAATCTAAAAAAATTAGTTCAATTGGCAACACTAAGCTAACACAGCTAGCTGATCAGCGCAAGTGTGCGATTGTAGCGCCACTGCCAGTGTTGAGAATGACAACAAATACTGACAAATATGGGTGGAAGTCATCAAAATGTGACAAATATAGAAGTTCCACTGTATATTCAAACGGGATAGACCGCTAGGGGTCGGAAGTGCTATGTTGTGTCTTACATGTGCTCCGGGTTTGATCGTCATTTTTTTTTTAATACCAAGTGGATTACTGCGGAGTATAACACATCGTTGGAGACAGGAAGACAAGCGCTCTCCGTAGGTACTAGTATCTTTTAATTTGGTGAACCCTGAAACGCGATCCATTTTTCATCCCCTTTCCGCTGGACAAAGGGCTTTGTTCCCTACCACGTGGTGGGTGCAGTCATTCGGCACTGTTCTGTGTACTTTCTGGTGGACTGTTCTATGTACTAGTGCACCGTCTGCTTGCTCAATAGTGCAGAGATCCCTCTTGGTAATCGGGTCACCTGTACAACTCTTCGCTACACTCTTACACATCCGCTCTCTCCAGCATGGCTCAAAAGGCCATCTCTGATTTTTTGGACAATTCCTATTCAATTCTTGATGAAGTCAAAGACTACTGTGTCAGTAACCTTAAGGGTCGCCAGAACGGCAGAGAACACATTAAGTATTTCACCGAACAAATTGCTAAAGTCATCACCATGGCTGAAGCCACTTTACGCGAACACACATTTTCGGAGGCAATGGAAGAAAAACTGGCTCTCTTGCCCACTAGGGAAGACATACTCCAAATCGTATCCTCTGAAGCAGAAAAAACCAAGGAGATTCTAGCAGATCTCAAACAGGCAAAAGAGCAACGTGAAGCTGCTCCCACCCATTCATACAGCACCATCCTAAAATCCGGCCTTACCATTAATCCCTCCCAAAGAAATAAAACAACTAAACAAAGCAAAGACGTCCTTCTGATATATCAAAAGAACGAAGATAAGAGCAGCGACAACACCAGAAAACTCATCCAGCAAAAAATACAACCATCCAAACTGGGAATTGGGGTTCAGCGCATGAGGCGTATAGGCTCCGGAGGGATAGCCATAGACTTGGACAACAAACAAGATATCGAAAAACTTGAGAAAACAATAGAAGAAAATATTCCAGAATTACACACAAGAAGGCCCAGAAAGAGGAACCCACACATCATCATCTACTCCGTGAATAGACACATAGACCGCAATGATCTAACCAACATGATTTATGAGCAGAACAGTGTAATAAATGACAACTACGGCGCTGAAGAACTTAGCGAACACTTCAAGATTAAGTTCAACGTTGGAAATCGTGAGGGTCAATACTGTAACTGGGTTGCGGAGGTGACTCCAAAACTGAGACAGCAACTTCTTGTCGCAGAAAAACTAAACATAGAATGGTCACGCTGCAGAGTGGCCGACTTTGTTCCTATTCTCCAATGTTATAAATGCTGCAGATACGGGCACTCAACAAAGAGCTGTGCACACGAAACACCCATCTGTAGCCACTGTGCCGAAGAACACACATACAGAGTGTGTCCAAACCGAAATAATACCCCAAAATGCATAAATTGTCATCACGAGAAAGCTAACAAAACATCACATAACGCACGGGATGGTTCCTGTCCTGTTCTCCAGCGTGTCAAAAATAACATCATCGACCGCACTGATTATGGGTCCTAAAGAAAACAATTACATTCGTTGTCTGCAGATTAATTTGGGAAGAGACATTTCCGCCACCTCCCTTCTTGCCACCAAATGTTATAAGTATGACTTGATCTTCATACAGGAACCATACTGTCTGAGAAATAAAACTGCTTGTCTACCAACTCATTGCGCCGTGCTCAGAGGGACTGATGATTACCCCTGGGCTATCACCATCATGACTAATCCCAACCTCTCTGTCCTCCACCATAGGAACTTATCTAATGAAAATATTGTTTGTACTGAGCTCATTCATAACAACAACCGCTACATATTTGTCAACGTCTACTGTCCCCATGATGCTAGTTTGGAACTGACCACAAACAACATTCAAAGTGTCATAGACAACTTTAGAAACGACAAAATTATACTACTTGGTGACATCAATGCGCACTCTTCCACCTGGGGCGGTGATAAACATGACCATCGCGGTCATGTCTTCGAAGAACTCTTTGCTCACAACCAATTCCGGCTACTCAACAACCCTCTCTCACCTCCTACATACACATCAACACATGGAGAATCCTGGATTGATGTGACTGCCTGTAGTCTAGACTGCTTCACCGATTTTAACAACTGGATGGTGCTTGGCAACTGCAGTCTCAGCGATCACGCATACATCTCTTTTACTCTCTGCAACAATAACTGCACTGCTGGCTCTCCTGTCCTACCCAAGATCAATTACAACTTAACTCTTGCTAACTGGGTTGGGATGCAGAACTTTCTTCACTCCAATCTCACTGACTGCAATCAAAATGACAAGGACAGCGCAAGTAAAGCACTTGACCATAATATCAACACAATCCAACGTGCATGTGAGCTGTTTATTCCAAGAACCATCCCGAAACATCGTTCTGTTCCCTGGTGGACTAACAAGCTCACAGATCTTCGCAAAAATAACAACAGACTTAGGAGCAACTACCAAAAGTGCAGACGTGAACCTGACCGAACCAACTTGAAACACCTCTATCTCGACCATCAGGTTATTTACAAAAAAGAAATCAAAGATGCAAAAATTCGTTCTTGGAGGCAGTTCTGTACTGCGGCTTCCTCTAACCCCTGGGGTTACATAACTAAACTCTGCACAAACAAGCTCAGGAAGACACAAATCCTCATTAATAAAGACACATCGTCCATTGGCAACAGCTTTTTCAATATCATTGATAAGCAAATGAGCTCCTTTTGCATTGAGGACAGCACGGATGATGACACTACTTGGCATCAAACTATACGGGAAGACATCAACATCCCCATTCATACCAACAATTCCCCGGACTTCTGTCATGATGAGATCAACAATGCCTTTACAAACCTAAAGGATAACAAAGCTCCTGGTGTCGATAACATTAACAGCAGGATAGCCAAAGCTATCTGGAAGCTTATACCTAGTCATTATTACAAACATGTATAATAGTTGCTTACATAATGGGATTTTCCCAAATAAATGGAAGATCGCAAAAATTATACCAATTCCAAAACCTGGAAAGCCTGACGACGTCAGGCCAATCTCGCTGTTGCCTGTTTTCGGTAAAGTTTTGGAGCGCCTGTTAACTGATCGTCTGACCTGGCATACTGAAACTGGGAACATCCTTAGCGAAACCCAATTTGGCTTCCGCCAACAGCGCTCCTCCTCTGACGCCATTCATTATGCCGTCAATAAAATCAATAGCCTCCTCAGTACGCACAAGTACGTGCTTGCCACCAGCCTTGATATCTCCAAGGCTTTTGACTCCGCCTGGTGGCCACTTATCCTGTATCGCCTAAAACATATTGATTGCCCAGCCAATCTATATCAACTTTTCAAGGACTACCTCAACGACCGGAAGGCACTACTACAATACGGCTCACATCATGTGGAAAGAAATATTGCCCGAGGCTGCCCCCAGGGGTCGGTCTGCGGACCACTCCTATGGAATCTTGCCTTCAACTCTTTTCTTCAAGAAGACTTTGGACACGACGGCATCGTAGCATATGCAGATGATGTCTTGATACTGATTGGCGGTAATTCCCGTGCTACACTTGAGAGAAGAGGCAATGATACGCTTAGCCGTGTTCATCACTGGGGCATCAGGCACAAACTCAATTTTAACCCTGGCAAAACCACTTGCATTGTTTTTAATCGACCCAGACAACCGAATCTGTACCGTCGCACACCAACAATTCGCATGGATAATCACTCCATGAAAGTTGAAAGGGCGATCAAATACCTTGGCATCTGGTTGGACCACCGCCTTAGTTGGGACAATCATATAAAATATATTACCAACAGAACCAACCTCATCTTTCAGGTCTTCTCCCAGGTTGCCCGCAAGAAGTGGGGTCTTAATTCCGAGGCAGTCGGTATCATTTACGACCACATCTTCACACCAATCATCACGTATGGATGCGGCAGTTGGGGCTGCCAGGAAGGTTCACCCCTGCAGAAAACTAATTTCATCCCAGCACAAGGCCTTAATCCTCATGTCCGGGGCCTATAGAACAACCCCAAACAGTAGTCTTCATACCATAACCCGCAAGCCACCCATCACTGACGTTATTCATGCCAGGTATGAGCTCTGGAAGCTAAAGACTGGCCAAGACATCTGTACAGTCACCTGCAACATTCCCGCTGCCAACTTCGAGAAAATGAATCCCGTCACTGACCTCACTCCTCCTTACATCAACAACCATATTAACACCAGTTCGCCCAATATCACTGATGTGGAAATCAATACGGATGGCTCTGGCCTGGATGGAAACATCGGGTGCGCCTTCGTTGTGATGCAAAACAACCGTGAGATACATCAGCAGGGTTACAGACTAAGCAACTTCTGCAGTGTTTTTCAGGCCGAGCTTGTGGCCATTAACACGGCTGTTGGCTGGTCTGAACAGCACCTAACTCATACGCAGATTGCAATCTTCACTGACTGCCAGTCTGCCATCAACCTTATCAATAGCAGACAGCTCCACCCCATCTCAACTGCTATCAAAAAACTTACACTCAACTCCTCCAATAGCTACAGCATTACCTGGGTCCGCAGTCACGATGGTACCACTGGTAACGAGAGAGCTGACCAGCTAGCAAAGACAGCTGCCAACAATGACACGCTAGACTCCATCTACAATAAAATCAGCTTGAATAAAGTTAAAAGACTTCTTTACAATGACACACTCCACCACTGGCAGGACTCTTGGCATGAAAATCATAGCAGTCATACCTACAACTTTATTCCCAACATCCACGNTAACTGTTCTATTTATAGAATGTAGCTGCATTCTACACATAATTAAAAAAAAATTTTTTAATCAGTTTGAACAACGGCTGAAATGTATATTAAGCAACGTATATTCCTTTAAGAATCTAAATAATACTTCCACGCATTTGGTACAGGAATGTAATCCATGTTGATGCATGCTCCTCTTATGTCAGCCCTGTAGATTTCTGTGGCCTCTAATTCTCTTGTATGTTGTCTGTCGAATACTCTGTGTATTCAACACTAGGACATGCTAGGATAGCTTCATTCTGTAAGATAGAAATTCCCGGTTCGGTGGCAAATCGGGCCAGATCTGTATTGATGTTTCCTTTTGCCACGTCATATTTGTAATCTCGTAACCTGGCTTGTAATGATCTGTACATGGAACCAATATACGTTAGTGTCCTGTTGAACCTATCATCCTGTAGTGGGATGCAGTAAACTCCATATGCTCTTGCATCCTCAGTGTGATCCTTAGCATCAGACAAAAGACAGAACATGGTGTGTTTCCTTTTGTATGCTATGAGTATGCTTAAATCCTTAGCAATCCTCCTGTATATGTGATGGAGAAATGGTTCGTAACTTAGGACTACCCATTTCTCTTCTGTGTTCTTAATGTTAGTATTGGTGTTAATTGACCTGGTCTGATATGTGGATGTTATATTATTGATAAATGAGTGGCTATACCCATGCTTGGATGCAATATGTTTCAGTTGTTCTAGCTTGTTGTTAGTATCTGAGAGCTGCATACAATGTGAGTGGGCTCTAGCCACAAGTGCGTGGAACACGGACATCTTATATGACCAAGTGTCAGCAGAGTTGGCCAGTATGAATAGGGGGATTTAAAAAAGGTTTTGCGGTACACTGTGGTATTTTGAACTTCTTATCTGCTACATGAATCTTGACAACTAAGAAATTAACATCCATGTAGTTTCTTGATCAAATTTTAGTGTTAATCCATAGTTGTTATTATTGAACACTTTTAAAACATCCCCAACATCCAAATATTTCTCCATATAATCAAAATGTCATCAATGTATCGGTATAAATGAGGATATTATGTTTGAAGTTTACTAAGGACCATTCTTCCAACTGTCATACAACCAGTTCACAAAGATCGCCAGAAATGGGGCTACCATAGGTACACCTCTTTTTTTGTATGTAGGTGCACTCATCAAAGTAAAAACATGAGGAATAGCACAACAGGTATGCCAGGTCTAATATCTGAGAGTGGAAAGATTGAGCATCAGGGGTAGTGCTTAGAAAGAAATCCCTTGAAGTGCAAAAACATGGTTCTAAACGAATAGATGAAAACATGGATACAAAATCGAACACCATGAGATATTCATTCCCACTTAAATTAATAGCTGTAAGTTTGGATAGAAGTGCACCTGAATCAGAGATCTTATATGTATATAATTGAAGGAGGCGTTTTAACACATGATGGATCTGATCTTCCAGAAAAAACGTTGGGGATCTGGCTTTATCAATCACAGGACGCAAGTGTTGACCTGGTTTGTGTCTTTTTGCAAAGGTGAACAGGCACAGACAAGGGGTGTTAGGAGAGCTGACTGTTGTGTGCTCTAGGCCTAGTGCCATCACTAGGCTAAGCAGGTGCATTGTTGTGATGGAAGACTAGTTGCATTGGCTTCAGAGTTGAGGTCTCTTTTGCTGAATGTTCTCCTTCAGTCACCTCAGAACATTGCAGTAGAACTTGGCCTTGATAGTCCTGCCCTCTGGGATGAATTCATGATGCACAAACTCACGAATGTCTAAAAAATAATTATCATGCTCTTGGTCATGCTCCTGACCTGGCTTGCCTTCTTTGATTGTGAAGATGATGGTATCTTTCACTGCAAAGACTGTTGTTTAATCTCTGAGTTGTAACCATAACCCATCTCTCATCCCCAGTGATGATCATCAACAAAAGGTTTGGGTCTCCACGACATGCTGATGAAGATCCTCACACACTTCAACATGGTCTGCCTTCTGTTCTGGTGTCAGAAACCTGGGCACAAACTTTGCAGAGATGCAGTGCATGTTTAACTGTTGTCAGGATTGCCTAGACTGTCTCATATGACACACTGACGATGGCAGCAGTGGTTCTCCAATAATCCTCATTCACAAGTTGCTTATTTTTTCAACATTTTTGGGAGTTGTGCTCATGGATGGTTGACCTGACCTGTCATCGTCTTCCCATCTGTCTAGCTAAGGAAAGACTTGCTATCGAACTTACGGCACGTAGCCTTGATATCTCCTGGCCATGTCAACAGACAGAACTCTTGAAGCACAAGGAACTGTATGCAGCCCTCCTCAACCTCGTGCAAGCCTATGAGCTCATAGCTCCCACCACCACCAGTGAATAGTTCTTAAGGGGCTCTGTCCTATTCCAGCGCCTCCGCCTTGTCTTATTGTATATATTGTACATATGTCAGCATATTAGTCCTTGTAACGTTTTGTCTCGTTCTACTCTTGTAAAAAACAACAACACTCACGCAATTAATTGTATTTATTGTATTAACTGTTGTACATTATCTCAATCTTAATCATACGTATGCATAATAACATCCTAATGTAACTATTGTACTTTTATCTTACTCAATCTTACATTACTCTGTATTCACTATAATAACATACTGTCATCTAATCATTCAAACTTCATGTATTTTATTCCCGGTAGTGCCATGCAGAACCGGATATGTACAAATTTTGGTACGTAATAAAGATATTGAATGAATGAATGTATATTCAAACGTTTATAATGATAGTGGATCATAATATCGGTAACAGAAATACTAGCCCTTATCCAAACAATCTTATCTTACTATATATTTGTAATTATATAGGATATAGTAAACATTAAATTGTACATTAATAATAAATTGAGAAGGAAAGTGTCATATGTGAATAAATACTATATATATATCTTTAATTTTAAGAGGGGAGGAAAAATTTATATCTTGATATTAATTTTTATTTAAGAAAGTTTACAATTGAAATTGTTTTTTTAAAACTGTTGTTTGGCATTTGAATTTTTAAAGTAAAATTATAGTAAAGAGATAAGTTTAATTTTTGTAATATTTAGGCCTTATTGTATAAATATTGGATTATTAAAATGGATTCAAACTGACCTTCTATGGGACTTGACGAAGAAGTAGACAATGTAGGTGACAAATTTTTGTCAGAACATTCACACCCTTCTATGTTGTCGGACAAAGAAATATTCATTTTTCCTAACTTTTTCTGCAATTTCAAATTCGACTTTTCCGATATATTCTCCTTCTCATGCTTTTCTTCGCCACCTTCTAACGACATTTTGTTTTCTAAATCTTTTTCTTTTAAACCATTTGAAATAATCTGTAAAAGATTAATATTAAACTATCATATTTCAATGACAAATAGTATATTTAAATTTTTAAGAAAATCAATATTGCAAATATTTGAAATCAAGCAAATATCTAAAAAACTATAAAACAGTTAAAATTAATTATTTTTATCAAATTAAAATAAGAATACTTTAAAATTTTCTTATTTTGGAATTTATTATCAGATATACATTAGCATACATGTTCATTTTAATAAATTAACTCATTTCTTTCCATTAAAAAAGGACTTACATTTTGGAATAATGTGTAAAGTATCTATTATTTATGATCAATATCAGAAAAAGTTCAAATATAGTTTAAGGTGATAAAAATCCAAGATAAAAAGTACATTTAAATACACTTATCATCCTGGCTTTTTATTAAAAGCCTTTTTTACAATTTTACTACTAGTGGAAAGAATTTTTTAAACAAATTTTGTACATTCAGGTATATGAGAGCGTTAAGATAAAGATCACCTCTACCATGAGATTTTGTTGTGTTCCTGAGGTGTGATAAGAAATGTGAATAAATGTTTTTAATCTTTCTTCTATTTTTGAAAATTTTAAGAAGTATTTATTAAAATTTTTACTGTTATACAAATTTTTAAATTATAATCGATTCCAGAAGGATATTTCAGCAACACTTCATGTTTAAGTAGGGAAGAGCCTACAAAAGGTCAACTCAACTGTATAATCTGTGTTTCTCTGGTTTTTATTTTCTTCTAAATAAAATTAGTTCTTTAATAGTAAAAATCAGAATAAAAATTTACTACAAATGTATGATATACTATATATTCTTAAATACTTATACTTAACAGTTAAGTCGTAATTAGCATTTTCAATAAACTAGAACTTAAATTACTAAAACTTATTTTGTTTCACTGGTGGTTGAATTGTCCATTAAATGCAAAAATTTTTATTTTAAAATGANCACCACGACCGCACAAAGCAGACTGATTAACTACAGCTAGTTGACATAGTGTTGCCAACTCAAAATTCAAATTTATAGCTAGACATTTTAATAAAAATGTTTAAATCATATTGTTTCCATTAAAATTGTTTGAATTTTTGTAGCTAGATAGCATTATAAAAATAGCTAGGCCATTATAATTTAGGTAATTTGCATAGCTAGATTGTTCATAAATCCACTAAATCTAACAAAAAATAGCTAAATTGGCAACACTAAGCTAACACAGCTAGCTGATCAGCGCAAGTGTGCGATTGTAGCGCCACTGCCGGTGTTCAGAATGACAACAAATACTGACAAATATGGGGTGGAAGTCATCAAAATGTGACAAATATAGAGGTTCCACTGTATATTCAAACGCTCCTCTAAATGGGGGTCCATTGCTTGTGCCCAAACCAGGCAATGGCCCCAACTCGTATGCACCAGCCTTGTCGTGGCAGAGGAGCTCAGTACCCAGGGAGCATGCTGTAATGGTATGTTTCCTGGGGAAGCTAATGGTGTGGCGGGGGAGTCCAGGTGTTGGCCTGGCCTTAGTGCTGCAGCGTGTGTCTCATTGCGACCTTGAGGCGAGAGGGTTGAAGACAGCCCCCGAGGGTACAGTATATGAACTGGGGATGCACACCTGGGGCGGTGTATAGTTAGGGGCCCGGGGGGGTCTAGCCGGATCTTACTGGCTGCCCCGTTCAGACGCCGAATAATCTTGCCCCCTGTCAGAGTGCGGGGTGGCGCCCCGATCAGGACCCTCTGGCAGGGGGTGGGGGCCTATACCGAGGCCATGGGGTCTGCCTTTGGCCCTCTCTAAGGTTTCTGGGTGTGGTGGGGCTCATTTCGTAGCGGTGGGGTCAGGTGCTTACCTGGGCTTTGGGGGGTCTTGGGGTTACCCTTACTTTAATATGAATAGTAGTCGAAAAAATATAAGTTTACACGTGCAGGGGGGTGGGGGGACTTTCCTGGGTCCCAATATAATTCGCCAATAGGCGTTATAAACTGTAGTGAAGAGATAGATAGGTCGTCACAACAAGATATAGAGTGTAGTGGTTTAAATTATTTACAGGATATTGAAAAATCAGCTCTAGAATTTAGAAAGGTGGTTTTACATAAGAGTTGTAAATTATCTAGGGAAGCTTCTTGAACTTTAATTGATAAATTCGGACAGGCTGTTAATATAGTAAGAGCAATGACTTTAGAAAATGAGAGATTAATAGGTAAGATAGATACCCTGGAAAAAATACGTATGCAGAGTGTACCCTTAGTGTCGACTCCTATGTTGTTTTCGGACAAATTGAAGAGTAAACAGGACAAAATAGAAAAATTGGAAAGTGATAATGTAGTAATAGTAAAAGGAGAAGGCATTAGTGATAGTGAGGAGATTAAACGTAAATTTTTGGGAAATATAAACCCAATTAAGGATAGAATTAGATTCAGGAATTTACGAAAACTTCGTAATGGTGGTTTAGCAGTTACAACAGCGTCGATGTTTGATAGGGAAAGATTGCTACAGCATGAGGCAATTAAGAAAGTTGGATTAGAAATTACTAGTATCAATAAGCGTAAGCCGCAAATGTTACTTTTGGATGTGCCTAGAGATTTGGCTGTTGATGATTTAGTTCAGATGTTATATACTTTAAATCAGGATTTAATATATGATGATGGTCAGGTTAATTTAGAAGATTTTAAGCAAAGTTTTAGACCGTTATACAGAACTGGTAGAAAACGTTCGCTATTAGTTAACTGGGTAGTGGCCAAAGGGATTCTTGGAAGAAGTATGTTTCTAGTATAACATCATCTACTAGCTCAAAAGCAGTCTGGGATAAAATCCATAAAATCAATGGGAAATATACTTCTTATTCTCTGTCCATGCTAGAAAATAATGGCACAATAGTCAGCGATATACAGGATATTGTCGATTTATTGGGAGAAACATTTTCGTCTTCATCCAGTAATATTATGTATCCAAGAAATTTTCAGGCTTATAAAGCCCAAAGCGAAAAACAATATTTAAATTTCCATTCTTCATCTAATGAGGAATATAATGTGCCATTCACTAACATAGAACTACATACAGCGATCTCTCGCTCGGGAAATAGTGCTGTAGGCCCGGATAAAATCCACTACAGCATGATTAAAAATCTGTCAAACAATTCCCTTTGTAATCTTCTAAATCTGTTTAACAGAATATGGACAGAACATACTTTTCCTGACTCTTGGAGGCTATCTATCATT